CTCGCGCCTTAGTTTCATCGAGGGGGGGGGCGGCTTCGAACGAAACTAAGGCGCGAGGATTCTTTCAGCACCCAAGGCAAGGCGAGCCGAGCGACCATCCCAAAGCCGTCGCGAAGCCCATTGACACAGGTACAAAGGAGGAGTTGAAGGTGGCGGGGAGAAGCGGGGGACAGCTGGCTGGCCGGTCGCTCGGCTCGCCTTGCCATGCGTGCTGATGCCGGTACCGGGCCGCGGATGATTTTGTGATGCCGGTACCGGGCTGCGGCACAAAAAAGGTTGGGGGCCACTGTTTTATGGGGTCCTTGGAGGTCCACCAGGGAGCACCTTCAGCGCCAGCTCTGATGATGCTACCTAGTTGGGTCATGAAAACAACGCCTGCGAGGAAACCTCCAAGAGCACCAGGGCGCCTTCAGTTCAATCCCAAGAGGCTACCGATAATTCTCTCCCGTTGATGTCGGAATCTTTTGTGGGGGGAATCCCTGACCCCCCCGCCCCTTAACCTGCTTTGGAGAAGCGGTCAGTCCCATTGGGAGTCTTGACCGGCAGGTTCTCCTCTCCTTGTCCTCCAGCTGGTGGAGCTGAAGAACCTGCAGCAGCGGGTGGAGGTGGACACGGCCGAGATCTCCCGCTTGAAGGCCCAGCTCCAGCAGAAGCAGCAAGAGGTGGAGCAGCAGGAGGGGGTCTTCCAGGCGAAGGTGGAGCAGCAGAGGGCCTCCGTGGAGCGGGAGCTCCGGCAACTCAGGTGAGGCCATGCGGCCGTGCAGGTAGACCCTTCGACTGAGCACCTCCCTCCCTCGGGGGGGGGGGGGGACAGGAACGTCTTGCTTCTAAGCAAGGCGGTTGTGAACGGAGACATTCCTGACTGTGCAACCCGATTTGTTCAGTAAATCATCATCGCAGTTGTTAAGTGAATCAAGTTTTTCTCCCAGTGACTTTCACACTTTGGGGGCTTTTTTTTGCAGGGAAGAAAAGGCAGGTTGGGAGGAGGGCAGGTGGCAGAGCCCCCCCGGCAGCAGCGCCCAGGTGAGTGACTTGGTCCGTATTTCATTTTGTTTTTATATTTTATATTACTTCATATTTTATATTATTTTTTATTTTATGTTTTATATTGTTTTACATTTTATATTATTTTATATTTTATATTATATTTTATATATCATTTTATATTATATTATATATTATATATCATTTTATATTATATATTATATATTATATATACCTGCAAGATCTCCCTCGTGGATTCCTTCTGTTTTTATTCTGTAGCATTTCTCAGGTTTCGGATATTTCCTTCTCCTGACCCTGCGGCTGTTCAGTGCAGAATACTTTCAGTAACAATTGACCCTACATTAAATTTGTGTTCAGAGTTTTGCAGTGTAAATTTAGTGCCAGAAAAATAAAAAAACACAGATGGCTGAGGCTTCACTTAACATCTTTATAAACATACTAAGTAAATTTTACAATACCAGTTGTAGATTTCTCCAACATGGAGCAAACTCAGACAGACGTAGACCTGTTACAAGTGACTCAACTTCAGCAGACGAGCAAGCAAGTTAATTTCTCTTTCAATAGACGGACTCAGAGCTCAACGGAGCTGCAGAGCCACGCCTAGGCTACTTCTAGTTTCAGTTTCCAAATGGCCTTCATTGGCTGACTTAGTTGCTTATGCCTATTCATTGGCGGACCTTGTTACCATGCTCTATTTCAGTTCCTGAATATACTCTGACAATTTTTGTTAATCTTTTCCCCTTTATGCTCCCGTTGTCTTAAGAACACGTTTTGCAAGATTATTACACCTGTATATTTATCTAGGATGCTAAAGTTTAGGTTTCTTTTTTTAACCGTATTTTGCGTGAACGTCACACCAAAGGGGCTGGGCTGACTTGTTCGCATAAAGGCTAAACCATCAAATGGATTAGGCACACCCTTAATGACCCTTCCTCAAAACACACATCCCCTCCCCCCATTTTTATACATGCTCTCGGCATCTGTCTCACGTTTGTTTGGCCTCTGGACCACAACTCCCATCATTCTGTGTTGTCTTGAGAAGGTTTGGAAGCCGCTTACGAATCCTCCCAGGCCAGAATGGATGGTGGGAGGATTTTTGCTGGACAAAATGTGACTGGGCCTTTCCACAGGGGTCTTCGGGGACGGCCGGCTCTGGCAGAGACACATCTGGCCAGATGGTATCCATGGAGGACCTCCAGGTCCAGCTTGGGAACAGCTTGAAGCACCTGCATCAGAAGGAGCTACGCATCCAGCAGCTGAACAACAAGGTGGGGCAGAGACCTGGGGGCGTCCTTCGCTGCGGCAGCGAGAGCTTCTCCAGGTGGTTAACTAGGGAGAGAGGGTGTCCTTCCTGAGAAGCTGGCTATCTCCTGTCCGACCTCTGGTGGTGGTCGAAGCACCTTCTGGATGTTGGGCTTGCGTTGTGCTCTTGAGTCAAGGGTCTCCAAACTTGGCAGCTTGAAGACTTGTGTCGGAGCCTGAATCTGTGGGGGAAGAGGAGCTGGAACTGGAGCCGACGGAGATCGAGGGGGCGGCTTTGTTGCTTTGGAGGGAAATGGGGAGAAGCAGGCTGAGGCAGGCAGCTTCCAAACAGTCCTCGTTGGCTGACCTATTCATTGGCTCTGTTCCAGTTCGTGAATATACTCTGACATTTTAGCCATGGTTTGTCGAGGGCCTCCATCGGTTGAGCGGGGATCGCACTAAATCCAGCCCAACGCCGCCAATATCATCACAGACACCTGTGAATCTAGCTAGCTACTCTCAGGCCTCCCTTGGGGACACGATGATGGCTTCCCACGGTGGGGGTTGGTGGGCTCTTGAGGAGACCTCCCCTCTCCCCCCAGCCTCATCCTCTGGCTCATCTCTCCAGCTCTCTCAGGTCTTCGAAGAGAAGAACGCGCTCACCCTCCAACTCCGGGGAAGCAGCCGCAGCCTCCGCGAGAGTCACCAGCAGCACAGCGAGGCCCTATCCCGTTGCGCGGCTCTCGAAAAGCAGCTGCAGGAGTGGCAGGGTCCGGCGAAGGCCACGGTAAGGCCAGGGGAGAGGGTCTGGGGTCTCCTATCTCCGGGCCCAACCACGTTCCACCCGGGTCAGGAGGGGCAGAGCGGGGAGGCAGCCTCCAGGATCCAGGTCTCTGCTCCTGCCACCCCTGTGGCTCCCAAGAGAGAGAGAGAGGAGAGAGAGAGAGAGAGAGGGTCTGTGGCTCCCAAGAGAGAGGAGAGAGAGAGAAGGGGTCAGGTCAGAGAGAGAGAGGGAGAGGGAGAAGGGGTCTGGGGTCCGAGAGAGAGAGAGAGGGGGT